CAAAACATGAACACAAGATCCAACACTGACTGAACAATGTTGATGCTGGAAACACAAATGCTTCCAAAATCCAGCAACTGCACCTGTGCAACAATTAGTAAACAGAACTCTTTCTGCAGGTTAAAGAACCAGTAGTGGAGGCAGAGCTGTGATGGAATGTGAAGTAGAAATAGCAACAGAGAGAACGAGGTTTCAGAATCTCCACCTGGAAAACTCAGTGTGTAGCAAACAAATGAGAAATGTTTCTTCCTGCAAAGAAAGGAAGGAAACTGCACTGATGAAAGGGGAGATTCTGCAGTAAATGTCATGATCCGTGTGCTTCACTCTGTAAACAAGCAGAAGAAAACTCATTCCTAATAAATTAAAAAATATGATGTGAAAGTCTGGATTTGGTTCAGAACACCTCAACCAAGGGAAGCATCTCCAAGGAGACAAAAGAATACAGCAAGCCCAGAAAAACATTCTATCAGACCTGTGATATTGGTCAGATTAAACGTTGAAGAATGTAATATGATTCCTGAATGAAATAAAACAAAATTATCAGTTTTAGGCACAATTGAAACCAGAATACAGTGACATATGCGGACCCCTGTCCATCCTCCTTAGGAAATGAAAACTGAAATGTTTGAAATTTCACCTATGATGTCAGAAGCATTTGGGAGGTGGTTGTTGATGAATTTCTTGGATTAGTCTGGAAAATATAACCACTAGAGGACAAAATGGAGAGGTGGACATGCTACATAGGTGATACATATGAAAAGAGTTAATGTGGCCCGGGCATGGTGGTGCAGTCCATTACTCCCAGAACTCCAGAGGAAGATGCATGAGGATCTCTGTGAGATTGAGACTAGCCTCGTCTACATAGCTAATTTCGAGATCAGAAATGCTTACAAGTTCAAAATACCAAACATTTAGAGAAAGAGAGTTTATGTGGACCAGGCTCTTGGATGAATTTACCTGAAAAGAAGCCATCCCTCTCCTCCCTCTGTGAGTCTCCTTTCCAGGCAATCTTACATAAACTGTCTTCTCTTTCTTTTGACAGACTTCCTTTCAGTTCACTGAAAATCCACTCCTGCCAACATAACAAGAGGAAGAAACACATCAGAAAACAAAACAGGCTCTTCTTAGTCTGAGTTGCAGTAGATGCACAGGAAGAAAGAGCTCAACATGGAGACCCCATAGAAGTTTCTGCTTTCCTGCCTTTGAGTGACACACCCTGCCAACAAGATCAAGAATTTCTAGTACATTCATGAGAATGTAGCTGCCTCAGCTCCTTACCTAAAGAAGGCAGAGTAACACGGTTTTCATCCTTTGCAATACAGGCTACAATAAGCTTTCCTTCAGAAGCACTGGCAGCTGACCCCCAGCCTCACTGTCTCTGCCTACAACTGTTAATGAAATACCACTGATGCTTCTACTTAGCTTCACAGACAGAATCTGTGGGGGAGGCACAAGGGAGAGTTTTCCTTTTAAAGGCTAATGTTCAGGAGTAGTTCATTGTGAGACTTAAAAGTCTATTCTTGGAGCTGGAGAGATGGCTCAGAGGTCAAGAATACTGGCTGCTCTAACACAGGAACTGAGTTCAATTTGCAGCACCCACTGCATTTAACAAAACCATTGCAGGGGTTCCCACACCATCTTCCACATTCCAGGGATTCACACACCATCTTCCAGCTCCACAGACAATGCTCCCATGGATGCACTTATATATACCCAACCACAACAGTCTGACTCATGAAATAAATTAAATAAATAAATAAACAACAATAAAAATGAAACCATCATTGTCTGATGACACAATATTTTACATATGTATGACATATCATTGATACTTGGATTCTTTTACTTATCTTGTTGTACCATAGAACAGTAGAAGTAAGTTAAGCCATGAAGCCATGACACTGTGTCTGTTATTTACCCCACATTCTCCCCATTCGCTGAAAACTGCTATTGTACCTTCAACATCTGTCATCTCTTTTCTTTTTCTATTTCTCTTATAGTTGAGATCATGTAGTGCTTGTGTTTCAACTTCCTTTACCTGGTGAGGTGTCCACCAGATCAATCCTGTTCTCAAGTATCAGAATATCCCACTCTTTTCTATGACCAAATTGTGGTGGATTCTATAGAAATGTCACATTTCAATGAATCTTTCATTTCTTAATGGACATTTAGTAATTCCATATTCCTCAAACAATGCTGCCATAATTGGGAAGTGACTATATCTCTAGGCCATGCAAAGTTTCAACTTCCTTTACCTGATACAGTGTTCATCAAATCAATCCTGTTCTCACGTATGAGAAGATTCCTCTCTTTCTATGATGGAATTGTGTATTCTTTAGAAATATCACATTTCAGTAAATTTTTCATTTTTCAAGGGGCATTTCAGTAGATTCCCTATTCTTCAAGCAGTCCTGCCATAATTAGGGAGCACACATATCTCTAGCCCATACTGAATTCACGTCCATTGATTTGGTGGTAGGAGCCACACTAGGAAGAACACCCATGGCTTGTTTTTCGGCATCTGTCTTCCCTCACTTAGCCCAGCCATTTCCAGTTCCGTCCACTTACCAGCAAATTCCTTGGTTTCGTTTTCCTTCACCGCTGAGTAGAACTCCGTTTTACAAATGGACCACATTTAAAAGATGCCTTCACAAGCTGAGGGACATTTGCGTTGTGCCCCTGAATTTCAAATAGAGTAGAAAAGACTGGAAAAAAAATCTCTGGCTTATCATGTAGTTAACAGACATTAAATATGTCTCCTAATGATATGGAAGGGCTTTAGTTGAAACGAAGTCTCATATTCTTTAAATTTCACGGGCAATACTGAAGCACCAGCTACTTTATAATAATTAGGCTTATAGGCAGTTTTCAATCTCAAAACTATCTTGTAACATTTTTTCTAGTATATATATTTTAAAATGAGAATACATGAAGTGCTGTGTTAATTTAATAGTCAATTTCAAAAATGTCTGTAGAGAACAAAATATCACATTGTGTCTCCTAAATACATATTCTTCTTCACCAAAAATAAATATTACAAGACTGGAGAGAGTGTTCAATAGTTAAGTGCAATGGTTGCTATTGCAGAGGACCAAGATTCAGTTCCCAGCACACACATGGCAGTTAATAAACACCTGTAACTCGAGTTCCAGGGGTTCCAATGCCCTCTTCTAGGCACCTTTACACACATCAGGCAATACACTCATACACATAAAAAGGCAAATAAAACATTTTTTAAAAATTAATTTTAATAGGTAGAAACTATCCTATAATATTGCATTTTAATTTATGGCTATCTGACTCCATGTCTCAAAAATGTAATTTCAAGTAATTGTGATAAGCTTTGCCACACTAATACAGTGTGCAGAGGTATGTTTCTCAGGACCACCTGCCTCTTGAGTGTGTTTCAGGACATCACCATCATCCCCACGATTCCAGGTGCTCACAGATTAGTGCACAAGACACCAAATGCTCTACCATCTTTGTATGCTTCTGCTGGGCATACAGTTGTGAGTACTTAGAAAGGAGCTGGATTTCTAACACAGTAGTTCACTCAATAAATAGAGAACAAAACAGAATTCTACCAATGACTCTCCAATTGGAATATTCCATCAGAACACTGATATTTACAGAGCATCTTCAGGTTGCGTAACTAGTGTTCCACCTCTAATTACATCTCAGTCCAAACTCCAGGTTGGAAACAGAAATTTGTGATTGGGTGACAATATTATATGCTATAACGTTTCTAAATTGGCCATGGAACAAAAAGAAAGAAGCACAATCCCTCCCAAAGGCAAACATGAGAATAGACAAAATTACATTAAAGTGTTCTTTTCTACTCAAAGAATTTCACTTTATGAGATATGAAAGTCATTCACACAAAGTTACACACACACACACACACACACACACACACACACAGAGTAGTTCCCCACGGAACTCTAGTATGCATAAGAAATTCTATAAGAAAAATATTCTCACCAACAAAAAGAAGACAGCAGTAATTCTCCAGCATCAGTTTTCTGTACAAAGTGCTCTGAGCAGGATCTAGGAATTCCCTTTCCTCCTGTGACATGATCACAGCCACATTACTAAGCGTCAAAATCCCCTGAAATGAACAATAACAGTTTGACCATGTGGGCACAGCAGATTGCTTTCCTTGAATCAAGGAGATCAAAGAAATTGACAGGCATGTTCTGATGTAGGGTGTGATCATAACTATTCTACAGAAGCTTTTCAATATTGTCATATTCTCTAATGCCTTTGCTAACTGTGGAACTAGTAGGGCATGATACACACGTATTTAGCATGTGTACTGTTTCTATGGACTAGAGGATCTAAAATTAAGACCTCAAAAGAAAAGTATGCATTTTAGTGATGGATTCCCATGATAAATTATATATTGCGGATGAAACATTAATGGTGAATTACAAGTTTACTTCTTCAATGTTAATGTAACTGGATGTCCGCTAAAATGTATGTTCTGATTCAATACAATCTAGAATCATTCCTTCTGTGACTAATTCTAATTAGCTCTCTAGAGATGGCCAGAATCCGGGTCCAAACGTAACTCCCTTAGATAGAGAAAAGTAGTACATGGAAGTCAGAACGTATGGATGAATTTGACCTGGAAGAGCGTTGTTTTTGCCTCAACAGCAAGGGGAGGGACCATTGACTTGAAGTAATTTCTTTACACTCGCCATCTCTCTGCCGTATTTGCGAACTTCAGCACATTAATTCAAATAGTGCACATAAGCCAGGCGTGGTGCAGACCTTTAACCCCAGCACTCAGGAGGCAGAGAAAGGCAGATCTCTGTGAGTTCAAGGACAGCCTGGTATACATTAGGTGTTCCAGGCTAGCTGGGGCTACAGGGAGACCCTGACTCAAAAATAAATAGTGCACTAATTATTTTATGAGACTACTTTGGGAACTATAAAACTGCTGATAAAAATTCGTTCTCCCTCTCCTTAAACCCGCCAGTCCCTCCTGGTCCCGCCCCACATCCGCTCTGCACCAACCGCTCCACGTGGCTCCTGTGATTGTGGTGAACCGTCACATCTCAATGAAACCGGGTCTGGTTCCGTCCAACTCCCGTTCCAAACCACCCTGCTCCTCGAGTGGAGTGCTCCCTACGTCTCAGTGGAATTTTCCAGGCCCCAAAGGCCCCAGGATCCCGCCAGGCTTTGGTGCCTCTCGGCCTCTGCTCTGGTCCCGCCCACTCCACCGGAAATTCCGTTAACGCCACTCATCTGAGCCCGCCCATTCCACGCCCCTTCTCTAACCACACAGAACTTGCTCCACCTCCTTTCCTTGGATCACTCCCCTGGCCCAGGTGATTGTCCCTGACCCACTGCAACTCCCATCCCCTCCCCTCCTACGCATCTCTAGATCCCAACCAAGTGGCTCCAGTTGTGAGTCTAGCCCTGGACACAGAACACAGCCTCTTTACAGGGTTGCTGTGGGCTTAGACCACACCTGAACCTAGTAAGACACTCTACCCCCCTACCTCCTACCCCAGCCTGGTTTCTGTCCTCTTGAGACACCCCGAAAGACACCCAGCCCGAAACCTGATCTTCGCATTCCACACTCCTGGGATAAAAAACGCAGAAAAAGACGACAAATAGCCTAAATACATATGCCCCGAGCCCATCCGTCAAATACTAAACGTATCATAAACCAATAAAATATTCCTCCCACCACTCAAGAAAAAGCAGCAATTTTGTAGCCATGTTCCCTAAGAGAGCAATTTGCAAAAAATTCTAAGATATAGAACTCAAAAATAATAAAAAAAAAACCCACATAAATTACCCTGAGACTGACCTGGACATGGGAGAAGAATCAAATCATCCTCAGGAACTAGAGGAAGTTTATCCTTGGTACACTCTGGCTAACTTCTCCAGGGATACTGAGGCACTGACAAGAAATACATACAGTGCTTTGTAGGATTTCTCACATCATCTCTTGGCAGTAATAACTTGATGGGTTTGAGACTTCCAGCACGAAGGTATATGTGCACCTCAGGTTATTATAGCAAGTTTAAACAGCATTTCTACTAAAGCAGGTATTTTGGGCAAGTGTGGGCAAGGATTCTGGGTTTTCCAATAACATGCAGTGTTGCTGGTGCCAGAACCATGCCAAGTATTTGAAAAAATAAGACACATTGCAGCAAATGTTTCTTCAGGACCACTGCAAGAGGCAGCATTCTTCGAGGTGCTCACAGACCATGGTTTTTGTCATTTTGTCATCTTGTTCTATGGCAGCTTAAAGCTTACAGTGGGAGGTTCATTCATACAGGTTTCTAACAGAGATCTGAAGTAGAGGTTTAGAAGGCTAAAGCCTTAAAAAGTAGTACACTGTTACAAAGCTCTGTTCCTCCTACATGCATCAACAAGGCCATTACTATTATTAGGCTTATTATTAGGAGTACATAGGTTCTTATCAAATACATTTGTTAGTACTTACTCATCTGCACAGAGAACAAAGTTATACTGAGGTCAGAGTTCTGTAGTCCATAATGGTTCATTGTTCTTCATCAATTTGAAAGGGAGCACACACCTGAAGGATCTTAAATATATCTGACGAAGGAAAACTACCTTTATTTTGTTCTATACTGGACTTGAGGCTTAATGACTTCATCAATTTTTTTCTCTAAACTCTTAACCTGGAAGATAATATTTTTAGTGGTTTTGTGTCATAAATCATGAGGCATGACACTGTAAGGACAAACAAGAGACACATCTTCCTCCTTGTCATGACATCAACTCTTCTTCACTCTCTACATCCTCATGAAATATTCCTTTCTTCAAACCATGTCTTATGGAAAGGAGAACTCTGTACAGAATGAGTGTCCCTTATCCAAAGTGGTGGAGGAAAAAAGTTTGGATTTCAGACTTTTCTAGGGTTATACAATATTTTCATGTACAGGACCTTTTGGTGATGAGCTACAACTTTAAAAACTGAGTTTGTTTATGCTTCAAATTGACTTTATATACAAACATTGAAGGCGTTTCATATAGCATTTTAGCACCTTTTTCCTTCATGGCCTGAGCTCAGGTACAGAACATACCATCTGAGGCATGAAATCAGCAATGAGATGGTCCAGATCAGAAGCTTTCCATATGCTCAGACTGAGCACGTTTATCCT